TGGAACTGTGCGACGTAGCAGACATTGGCATTGGTCGAAGATGCGACCATTTCAACTATTTCCAAAATTAAATACAGAGGATGACTATCATTGCTAACAAATGACAAAAAACAACTCCTGGATGTCATCGTTCCATGACGTCATAGTTCATTGAATTCACAACTATTGATAAACATTTATTCATACAAAACAAAATAGTCACCGACAATGTTGGCAATGGTCTCCGTGCAGTGCATAAACGAAAGCAGTAAGTGGCGGATTTTAACTGAAAGATAAGCGGCGTACAGTCCATATCTCGACGTTGGATAGGGGGTGTCTGCGGAGTGAGTTGTGTCAATAGACCATACCCGTTCAGGCAGAGAAGTAGACAGCGAGCGCACAACAGAGCTCTGGCAGCACTGAAAGATGCTACTCTGAGTCTGCTCTCGCGTACAGGAAACTATTCACAAATACGCAGCCGCCGCCACGCTCGCAACTAAGTCCGTGGACACTTTTCCCCTCCAATGGCGTGATAGGGTCTGTATGCAGACGTTCGTGACACCAGTCATACTGGATCCATACTAGTTACTGCTTGAGAAGAATCAAAGAAAAAAAAAATCTGTCAAGTGGTCTCCTAAATACAAGGTGTCATGAACAGTCTCATGTGTGCGTATCGCAGCTTAACGCCATCGTTTGCTGCTCGCTCTCTGACGAGAGCAGTTTGAGCATTAACGTTGTAGCGACTAAGTGTCGTACCATTCCATTGCGAGCTTTGGCGCAGCGTTAAGAAACGATACACACCCATGCTCCACAAATGACCAATCGATAACATGCACTCGATCATGTAATCAATAGTATTACAGGAAACGGGTTGGAAATTTGCAAGACAGCTATGGACTTAAGAGACGCTAAGGCAATTGAGAAAGCAAAGAGATGGAGTGATGCGTCTTTTGCTAATCTGGGCTCCCCAGTTTGAACTGAGGCAAGGGAACGCCTGAGAAGCTCAATGAGAAAAGCTCAATGGGAGTGTGCAGATGAGCAGAAAAGGCGTCCAGTCTCTTTATTTACCTTAGAGTCACATTATACGCTTCCGGGAACAAATTGGTTCCCAATGAAAGATCTACCTATGACAGTCAATAAATGTTAGCTATGAATGTACAATAATGTATTATGCGATAGCCTTTAAATAATAGATTAGCTCTTAATCAACTGGTAATTATCCGTAATGAATATATGCGATTACAGAAGCACGTCTGAGACCTGCAGCTCATGAATACAATCTAGTGTTTTTCCCGTCTAAAAGCCACACTGTAAGCAACAGTTTCAATTCCTGTACTCCAGGTCTTCTTGGTAAAGTCAGCAGCTTAAGAAAACTCATGAAAGCAGAGGTATTCAAAGTGGATATCGATTAACTGCTCGGGCCGCTGCATGCGCGCATACGTGGCTCGCACCCACTAAACTCGAATATCTGGAGGACAAGAATTATACAAGAAGAGAAAAAGAGAGCAGCTAAAATAGTTTCGCAACAAATGAAAACACCTACTGACTCATTCATAACATTGTTAGTGGCGAGGTGCAAGGTAAGCAGATTCGGCATTTGGCATCTCTTATTTCAGCAGAATTGCGGCACTACCAAAACTACTAGGTCTTTCTTCTACACATGGAGTGGGTTGCTACAAACCTTCGTAGCTACCCGTCGTCCTTGTAAAGTTGACCTGCTCTGATGGTTTGGATAGCACTTCATGATGGCGTTCTTAACTACGGTATTCTAGCACTAAAATGCACTCTTAGCGCTGCTAATCTACCGAGTGCTGTGTTGTTCCGCTCTCTTGGTCTAATGGCTTGATGTGCTATGACAAGCGGTTAGGAAAGCTAGTGATTTCGAGCAGATCAGTGCTGATAATATGCGATGATAACGTGCAACTTGCACTGTTACGTACGTCCATTCGCAAGAAGTACGGTAACCAACTAGCCAAACCCGATCACATCAATAGCCTATTCTATCTAATTTCAGAAAGACCGCATCTCGGTTGCAATAGTTAGAAAGCACATTAGTTGTCGATGTTCTTCTTCACAACGGCGCTTGATGACGTGGAGGTCCACGTCCATCTAGCGCGCACGTACCCGTTTTCTAGCGTTGTACAAGGCGGACAACATTGAGAAGCTATAACTGGCTTAGCGGCAGTAGCAAAAGCCTCATGTTCGATTCAGGAACAGTCTCATCAGACCAGCAAGAAGGGATCCAGTTCGGAGTGATCCTGAGAACAGTGGCAATTTTCAGTTCTGGAGATTCGTGTCCAAATGCCGTTACAAGACTTTGGACCGATCAACTTCCAGAAACCTTGCTCGCCGTCTTCCAGATCGGACGCGCACCTAAATAGAACTTAACAAAATTGTTGTTGTCTGAAGAAATCAGAAATATGAAGAATCAAGTCTGCCCAACTTTGACCGAACTTCCTTGGGGGAAGTACTGAGCATACTTCGGGACGTAACGTACCTGCTATTATTGCGGTGTATTGTGGCTTCCGGCTGACATTCAGCACAAATCGTGTTGCCCCTAAAATAGACAATGTAAAATGCTTTGCTCTGCTTTCGTATATTCGACGATTTATTGAAAATCATCATGACTAGAAGTAGAAAGGTTTCCTAATCATTTTCAGGGCATAAAGGGATTCCAAAGAATTAATTCTGCGTCGGTTTCGCAATGAGCCCTTAACTCGTGCCCTCTAACGAAAACCGAACGATTCATGTTATCTCCCACCTCTCTCCATCAGTAGAGGGAAGAGAGAATGGCGAGCTGTAGGGTGATTATTTCAGGCACTTCCTGTGTTTTACAACACCAATGGTTCACAAAAATCGAGCCAAACGACAACGCATGGAATGCCCAGAAAAAGAGCATAAAAAATCCAAAACTAACTGCTGCCAAATACTGAGGAAAAAGACATTTTCAAAGGAAATATAACATGCCAAGAAAGAATACGTCAAGACAAAACAACGATTGCCCTGTGTACGCTCTTAACAGCACCAAAAGTAAACTCCGTTAAAATGCGCCACCACTCTCACCGCAATTGACGGAAGATGCTGGAAGCGCGGGAAGCCGCTCTACTTCTCTGCGCGTGCCGTCTCAGGAAATTTGTCAACTGGGAGCCTCCCTTCTCCTTCCTTTTTCCTCCTTCCTGTGTTCCTCCTTTCCTTCTCTCTTTTATCTTCTCTTTCCTCCTCCCTTCCAATGCTCGACCAATAGGTGCAATGGTGAAATACCCTGGACCCTTCCAATGAAAGAATGTTTGGCTTGCAGGAGCGCCAATCAGTCAACTTAGTCGTGTCCATGTACGCTATGCTTCCATACTGTTGTAGCTCGTGTACTTTCTTATGAAGATTTTTCAATAGTAATGGTTTTGTTATGTATCACACAAGATAGACGGTCTCAGGCACATCATAGCATGCCAATTAATCCGCGATAATGCCTCCACAATTAAGCCGGCATTAGTTTGGTGGACGGGGGGGTTGGATAAAGAATGGTACGATCACACCTCCGTTAATTATGCCTCGCTTATGCCTCGCCCCTAGGTGCGAGACATCATTAACGAGGTGCGAAGCGACCTCATTAAGCAAAGGAAATCATGCTCGACTACGAAGTGACCTATGTTAATGAAAGATCGCTGAGCTACCAAAATCGGCACAAATTGAGTGAAAACTCTCAACAGATTAAAAAAAACGTGAGGATCACGAAAAAGGCTTACACAGAATGCTTGTACTAAACTGTAAGGTGAATTAAACAGCGTCGTGCTGAATTAATAACTGACCATCAGTGAAAAGCATAAGTATAGTCTTCCAAAAGGCAGAAGTTATTAGGCTATCCAGAAATCGGCATGAACCGGTTGAAAACTGCCGCTGAGGCTTACGAAAAAGTAATACGATAAGGTAGCGCTACCTGTCAAACTGAATGGAATGGTATAATGCCTAGCTTTTAACTAAGCATCGATAAAAAATGTAAGCTCATCATTCAAGAGTTCATGACGAAAAGCTTCAAGAAGGTCTCGTGGAAACCCATACGTTTACGAAGTGCATCCTTGCATATCGCTGAATCTCATTGCCTGCCTTCGGCGGGTTAGTTCAGGTAATGACCCTCTGGCCTCTTCTATATTATCCCGATAATGACTTCTTTATCACTTTGAAAGCCCTCTGGCCAAACACAACACCTCAACGAGAGGTCATGAGCAGATACTTAAGCTAACAGGTAGAAAGCAAACACGCGAGTTGTTTGTTCGTTGTGTTGTCATGTATTCAAGTACTAATCAACCATTATTATATTCTGCTGATTCCTGCTCTTATGTGGATGCAGCCGCTCCGTTTTCAGGGTTTCCTCAGACCTGGTCTCCCACATCTTTAAAAATTGTGTGGCGGTATTTAGCACCGCCACACAATTTTTATCCGGTACCAGCACCTTTGTATGACGTAGGGCTTGCATCACCATGCACATTTCCTCCCGCACTAGCACCTTCTCACTTCGTCGGTCAGGAACCAACATACTGCGTTACCCCTGTACCAGCAACTTCTTACCACGTGGAGCCCTCCTCCCCATACACTTTTCCCCCAGCACTGGGAACTTCCTACTACGTCGGTCAGGAAGCAACATCCAATTTCGCCGCTACACCAGCACCGTCGTATTACGTGGATCAGATTGTACTGCAGCACATATCCCCCACAACCAACTTTTCAGTTTACATTCCCGCCCGTTGCGTAATCCTTCACTACCGGCTTCTGGCAGTCGGAGTTTTCAGCGAGAAGGACGTCGCAGCAACGGTTCAACAGGAGAGGCGACAGGTACAACAAAAGTACCGTGCCTATCCTATAGGCAGTCAGGCCACGGCAATTTGCGTAAGCTTTTGCGAGGCAGCGTGCGAATAAAAACCTGGAGGTCTACCGTTGCGTGCAGTGCAGGAAGGGAAGCAAGAGACATGGTGAAGATGTTCTAAGAGTTACAACAAAAGTGAGAGCAAGCCAACTGGAGTTTGGATATGTATCCGGCAATTACTTGTCAGGTAATTGGTGACGAGTTTCTGACGGATCCGTGCAGACTGGACCATGAATGCCGACCAGAAAAGTATGTCAGAGAAACAGGAGACAGAGCCGTCTTTGAGGTGAAGTGTAGCCATCTTCAATGGCAGTTCAAGAAGAGACTGAAGATGCTTTTCAGGAGCTGCAACATGTTAGGGAGGACTCCAAATACGCTGCAATAAAGCCAGTGCAGGTATTTTTCGATCTCGTGGCCCAACGTCGAGAAGCGGACAACGGTAGTCTATCTGTGATATTTCGCAGTGTTGCTTCCTAGTTTCACATTCTATTACAGCGGAAATGGAGGACTCCATCAGAGCAAACATTCGTAGAACGGGCTACCATTCTCGAAAGCTTATAACACTTTTTCAGATGGCGCGCGAGAATGGGCTTTATGGCATTGTGGCCGACGGGTCTCACAGCTTGCAGCCGAAGACCTTGGGGCGCTATGCGCAGCTGTACTGCGTGCATGGTGTCTGCAACCAAGACCTTGACGTACCACTGATGTTCTGCATAATGGAAAAGAAAACTCGTCGCGGGTACAAGAGAGTCTTCGAGCACCTGAAGAGGAATCTGCTAGGTGAAACACCAGGCGCATAGTGCTTGATTTCGAAAAAGCTGCCATCCATGCGGCCAAATGGGTATTCCTAGGACAAAGCTGCTGCATCTGTAGAGAATTCTATGAGCAGGACTTAGGTCCTTTCAGGGGGTGTGGGCTCTGAATAATTCCGTGGTAAGCCACGTAAGCCATTGACCCTTACCTTCTCATCGCACCTCATCGCACAGACAAAGAGTCATTACATTAGTTGATCAAAGGTTCGCATTTAGGTGAAAGAGCCCTTTCCCACACTGAGCAAGTAGTCGAGTCTGCAGTGACAAGGGTTGCCCCCACTTTTGAGGGGCGAAACAGAGTAGCGAGTTTTATTTCGTGATTCCTCCTCATTGCGCTCCGCGGAAAAAGTCACCGGCAAGGGCACGTGTCACGTGCTTACCAGCTGTATAGGGTTTCAGCGACAACATGGCGAAAAGGAAACAAAAGCTGACACAACGCGGCTATGGGCTGATGAAAAGCTAGTCTGCCACATCGCAGTAACGGCAGTGACAGTCTCTCTTCAGTCCTTCGTCGAACTATTGAAGCGACATCGCTCGGCAAGCGTCGCGTGCGCCTCACCGGTGAATCTTGCTTCCCGTCTCACATTGGTACGATCCCTTCATTGACCTCATCGCTTTAGCTACCCAGAATGGCAGAATATCCGCCAAACAACGTGCTTAGTGTTAGTGCTTGAGACACTGCTGTCAATAAGGAATCAACTGGAATGGATTGCCGGCCATATCGACTATCGCATCGTTGTTCGGTGATCTCGTCCCATCGCATACGCGTTTCTCTGTCAGATCTTATTAAGCCGCTCAGGGGAGGACTTTTTTAGAGAGCTTTCAACTTTTTTTTTTCTGCACATTTCTCTACTACTGGGTTTTCTGGCAGCTTGGCGTTCCCACTCAGCCTTCCTTACTCACGAGTTCTAAACGTGGAAAAGATGTGACCTTTTCTTGGCAAGAAATAGTGCCGTAAGCGTGAGGCCGCATGCATGTTTCACAGGAATACGGCCAGCCGCGTTCCACACTTGATCGTCGTTGGACCGACGTCTCTAGCCGATCATACTCGGAATAAAGCAGACCAACTCGATTCTAGCGGTCGAACACCAAGCAGTGGTGCATGGTCAGGAGCTATTGCGCGGTTCCCAAATCCTCGCAACCAAACTGCGCAAGTCGCGAAGTATGAACGCGACTCACGCGAGAGATAATTACAAAAGTATGTGGGCGGGACCCAATCGTACCTGTATAATCGTGTTTTGATCTGTTTGTGCCAGCAATTCCTGTTCACCCAACCGATGCGGTACTTCACACAGTAGCTGGAAACAACTTGACATTCTCTGTGTTGAGTTAATAATTAGGAGAAAAACCTTACTATGTAGCTTTCTGGAGCTTTTCGCGTACTGAGGGAATATCCCAGTAGATATTGTCTCGTGCCATTTTTGATCGAGTATCGTTGTATCGATAATCGATGAGTAGCGCAACCGTTGTTATATCTGCAATCAAAAATGAACATCTAAGGAACTCTATACACGAGGAGTGATATCCTAACACTATTATCACAAGATTCGTTACCAACGGAAAGATGCAAGGTTCCTCTAGAATCTAGTTATTGTTGGTTTAAAGTTGAATTAATAAGTAAAACGGTACAAAACCCTATTTATTTCCTTGCTCTTGCTTTTTTTTCGCTGCTGGAGATATATTTTAGCAAAAATGGGGCGTTCTCGAGCGCCGACGACAAATGGTTCAAACAAAAGAGGCAGGGAAGTATATATGAGAGAGGAGTCTATACAGGGATCCTCAAATGCGCTCGGGAACGCCCCTTTTTGCCATCAGGTATAGACTGCAACTAGAGATATCAGACCAACCGTCGAGTGAACGTCTCTGTGCGCATTGTTTGAAGCAAGTACGCATCTCCTTGAGCGCTGGACACTCTTTTCCGCCTCTTGCAGGAGGATCAACTCGCCCTGCTCTACACCGTGCCACAGCTACCTTCATCCGGTACACATGGCTCCCATTCAGCCCATTCTGACACTCGACAGTCTCTTCCTGGAATGAAAACCTTCAAGACGTTGAAGAAGACAAAGGTGCAGCCGGCCTAGGCCACCGCGCACAGTACTCAAGCACGGCCCACTTACGGGGACACACGTAGGTGTAGTCCGAACAGCAGTCACCCAGTACGGTGCATGATTCATCACAGTAACAGTCGGTAGGAGGAGCTTCAAGATACATGAACTGCGGCCCTGAAAAACAAGAACTCTATTTTTAAAAATGTGCATCGAAAGTACCTGCCTACCGTCATCTTCATGATCAGGTGAAGACGGCGTAGTGGTGACTTTCAGCGGGAGGTGTTGATCGAGAACTGAATATCTGAACGGGCTATCGATTACAACTGCCAACTATAAAGAATTCAATTTAGTGAGTCTCTCAGCACAAATTTCAAACGATGTCAAAAATTGGTAAAGTCTTTCAGAATGCCAGACACATGGTTCGCAAGATCTGTTGGTCGTAGACTCTACCAATGTCAACCTTTCTTCACTTTTCCCGTCTTCGAGCTGCTTTGTAGCCAAATTATGGCGTTTTTCAGTGGCACGGGAAGCGCCGCCCATCTCAAGCACGCCCCTCCTCCAGCTCCCCTCAATAGTTTAAATAGAGGTCATGATCTAGTGCGTGTAAGATCCATCGTTGAACTAGGGCGCAGTTCGACTTGGTGGGACCAGAAAATGCTAACAAATGATACTCAGCGAAGCCTGTTCAGGTCACCTCGCAAAGACCTGTCCAATCTTGTAACTAAAAAGGCTCGCTTTCACCATTTCGCAGCTTCACAAGGGTTTACAGGTAACACCGAAGAGAGCTGTTCATTACACGAACTACCAAAAGGACTAACAAAAGTGCAAAATGCCTCTCCCAAGCCAAACACCGCCTACTAGAACACTTTGCTGTGGCATCAAACCAACCAAGTCCCAGTGGGAATGCTGCGCACGCGACCTTACTTGGAAGGCCGGTTTGGCCGTGCCGTCACAGCTTTCCTGGCCAAAACCAAGTCGCTTATTATGGCACACAGCCAGGATCGCCGCGGACCACTCTCGCATAGCAGACTCTGGTCGTCTGTGCGCTGAACCTCGGCCCTAGCTGAGAAAAGTGCGCAGGGCGCAGCTTGCGTAGGGCCCAGCCATGCTCGGGGCACATTGATCGTTGGAAATTCTCAAAAGAGGCGTCGGATTATGCGGTCGCTGAGGAAAGGAGGCAGTCTCACTTGTCTAAAAAATTTTTTGATGGTTTGATTTTTTTGTTTCAGCGGATGGTATAAAGAAGGGGAGGGAAGTCGTGCTTCCCTTCTGGAGGAAGTGTGGCTTAGGTTTAAGCATCTTCTCCACCGCGTCCCAGGTTGTCACTTTTCCGCGGTTTTCTAATTCTTGTTTTTTACCAACATGTGCTTTTATAGCCGCCTACCCCTGCCCCACGAAACCCGCTCGCACAGCCAAAATATTTGAGAAAAAAAGATAATGTCCGAAAAATTCCGGGAAAACTTTGAAAAAGTTGGTAAGAGGCCGGGGGAAATCTTCTAAGAAAGCTCGGATGGAGCAGGATGGGGAGTGGTGGCGGCCCAATATTTTCGTTCGCCGTTTTTCCCGTTTCACATGTGCTGTGCCCCCCCGCCCCTCCCTCCCCGCTCGACAGCTCGATCGTATTCAGAGAAGGAACCAGGAGATGGTTCAAGCCAACTTTTAGGGGGCGGTCGCATGCTACTCGATGGACTCGACCGAAATTCCCAACTAAGATGTGCCCTGGCTATACTTCATTAGCGCTGTTAACTAGATTACTATAAGCGCGTAAAATCAATATTTTCGGCACTCAACGCTGCATTTTGTAAATCACAGTTTAAATCAAAATTGCATGCGAATCATCTCAGAGAGCAACTCTAACAATAAAAGTCAAAAATTCTGAAACTTACCAAAAATAATTTAATTAGTTCAAATATGTCAAAACACTCTCAGAATGAAACACTTCAAATACGTCACAGTTCTCAGAAAAAAACACACTCAGGTTAGAAAACACAAGGCGAACTACATGCGAACCCCCCCCCCCCCCCCCCCCCCCCCCCCCCCCCCCCCCCCCCCCCCCCCCCCCCCCCCCCCCCCCCCCCCCCCCCCCCCCCCCCCCCCCCCCCCCCCCCCCCCCCCCCCCCCCCCCCCCCCCCCCCCCCCCCCCCCCCCCCCCCCCCCCCCCCCCCCCCCCCCCCCCCCCCCCCCCCCCCCCCCCCCCCCCCCCCCCCCCCCCCCCCCCCCCCCCCCCCCCCCCCCCCCCCCCCCCCCCCCCCCCCCCTGCGTGCACACAGCCGTGCTTTTGTGCACGTGTTTTTATGTTAGTGCACACTAGACCTACGTCTTGTCCAATGAAGTGTTCATTCACCGTTTTGTGCCTGGTTCCTGTTGTCTATCTATGAAGCGTTATTGTAACAGCCCACAAAACAGGCACCAACACACCGCTATCAAAAGATGCTTCGGTCTCGACGTATACCGTAGAATTTCCTCTGGTGGTTCTTCAGGGCCTTCTGGGTAGCCAAAAAGAAAATGTGTGATCTTTCGAGCTGGTGACGTCTTCTTTTTGTGGCGACGAGTCTTTGGGACACGAATTGCCTTCTCGCGACTCGCCTTGTCTTGCACTGAAGTAGAGAAAAAGTTACAGGTGTCAGTTTGTTGGATACAAACTCGCTGTTACAGCATATACTATTTATGCGCCATGCTCTCATCCTTCGTCCAGAACTGTATGAATTGTGAAATTAGAAAGAAGCTTATAGTGATGGGTTTCTGATTGCAAATATATTCTTGTAACCACTAAAGTAACCTTGGCTCACAGCTCTTTACCATGCTAGGCTAACCTGGAGTTATTAGCTCCATCCTCCCCCCTGCACAGGTACTCGAAAATCCCACATTCGCCGCATTCCATGTCAAAAAAAAACTGAAAGAAGGACACGCATTGAGAAATTTTGACGTGACTCCGACTCCGATCGCCTGACGCTCTCTAAGACAGAAGGGAGCAAGGGAATATGCGGCTGTCTCCTCAGGTACAGCATCGTTGTGTGAAACACATAGGGGGTCGTACTTTTCGGCTGGGGAGGGGGGTCGTATTTGGTCGTTGTTGGGAGAGGGGGAGGGGTCGTATGTGGCTTGACAGGAATTTGCCGCGTTGGGGAAAATTTTTTCCGGTTGTTGACTTTTCGCGTGATTTTCTCCTGTTTCATGTGTACTATTTACCCTCCCCCCTTCCCTTTCCTCCTCCCCCGACAGCAAAATTTTTGGGTAAAAGCAGGGAATTTTCGGGGAATTCAGAAAAAAGTGATGGGAAATTGGGGAAAATCTAGGAGCTTTTCCCGTTTCACATTGGCTATACCCCCCTGCTCAACGGAAAATCTCTGGGTGAAAAAAATGTGGGAAATTGGTAGGTAGGTGCTGGAGAAAGTGGGCAGGGGGGTCGTACCGAGACATCTAGGTGAGGGTCGCATCAAGAACCTCCCTTGAGCGGAGGGGGAGGGAATCGTACTGGCACCACAGTTTCACGAAGCTGCACGCTTAGTCCTTTTCCTGCCCTTCGTTATAAGCTCTGGAATTCCGGCGGATGTCTGCGCTTGATTAATTATTTCCATGAAATTAAAGACCTACTGCAGCACCGTAATCAACCGAATCAGTTGATTATCATAGGAAAGGAATTTTCCTGCACAGGTCAATGAGTATTTAATCACCCAGGCAATTTTAGATGAAATGTGAGTACATGGCGCGTTCTTTGAAAATCTAATAGTAGAGCTGTTCTTACCATATTTGGTGTAGAGATCTTCAGCACCAGATCCTTCCAACTCGACGATATCCGGGAAAACGATTTTGCCAATTCGTTGGTGATGTTGATCTTCGTAGACCTTCAATGATTTTGATTACGGTAATTTTTGTACGATCAATCGATAGCTTACATCTGGATATATGAGGTCATAGCCGTCGCCGGATGCCTCGTAGTAGGGTGTGTGATAGGAAGAAAACGGTCCAGCTTCAGATGACGATTTATGTCTGAAGAAGAATACTGAAGTTATTCTGCGATGGTCAGCTTATCAGCTGACTGCTGATCACAAAATGCGTCATCATATTTGCAATTATAAAAACAGTCGGAGCAATTTGCTGCAATCTGACGAGGTTCCTGCCCTACATTAAGTAACATAACGTCCGCGCAATGTTACCGGACCGGGCCCCCGCCGACCAAATTAACAAGAATGTAGTTGGACATTGCTGGGACAATCTGAAAGTGTCATAAGCGCCAGCGGGACGCAATAACGTAACTGTGAACGAACAAGGAGAAGTACGAACGAAATTGTCTCAGCAGGTGAACAGCCCCGAAGTACCCAGAATCAGGGAATGGGAGAATAAGATAAAGAACACCTGCCCGTGTGGTTTATTCTTCCATCGAACAAACAGTAGTTAGTCGAATAGTTTATGTGATAGTGGGTTCCGAAAGAGTAGTTCCGCACCAGGATCAGTTCAGTGGCTCCCCCTGTGGCTCTTGGAAAAACGGACCTTTCATAGGCATATTTTTGAAAAGCATATTTGGCCTGGTTTTCTCAGACGAAAACACCAGAGATCACCTGCATTGGTGCATCCCCTTCTTTGTCACCTCAGAGGATGGAACATGTCAATGAGGTAGTTGCATCTAGTCTCTGTCCCGCCCACCTCGTTATCGCAGAATAGACTTGCAAAAAAGGAAGCCATACGAGACATTAATGAAGAGACGTTTTCCTAAGGTAACTTTGCTTGGATTACATATGAATTAACTGACTTTCGATGCCGATGTTCCTGACGCCCAGAATGGATTCATCTCTAAATGCTTGATTTCCGATCAACAAGGTCTGTAAAGTAGCATGATCAACTGGGCTATACTATACTTTCAATGGTTGAAGGCGCCAAACAAGTTTTGACCGCTATCAGTGTGCCCAGTACTTTATTGGATGGCGTCTTTATTGAGGCCTTGGGGTTACATACTATTCCTACCGATTGAAAACTGATCACACTTATATATTAGGGAAACACGAACAACAGGGAATTTGGAAAAGCACTACTTGCCTGAGAAAATTTCTCCTGACTTCACTGTGCAAGCGTGCTACATACGGCCTCACGTTTCGTCAGCACTATCTTCCGAGTTCAGAGGGGCGGGGAATTCCGAAGAAAGTGACCCAGCACAAACGTTCTTCGTTGACAGCCTAGAGAGGGCAATCCGTAAATCTTGGGGCCAACAAGAAGGTTTTACATATCAGCCCCGTTGGCACACAAAACTGTCTAGATTAACATTAATACTCGACTCATCACAAGAAACGCTGAGTTATCTACAAAAGTCTTGACCCCGAGCGGGGACTCGAACCCGCCCCCCACGTTCACAGGGCGAGTGTGCTATCCATTAGTCCCCAGGGTCGCTTTTATCCTGTCAGCTCGAGCCGCGGTTCACTGCCGTTATCGGCTAACAGCCCACCAGGTGAAGGTGCAGGAGCTGCAAGGCCATATCACAAAAGCCGGTGCAAATACCGCGCACGTGACGCCGCTTTCGCAAATGCCGCGCGCATGACGCCGCTTCGCCGCCTCTGGTTCGTAGTGAATCAGGGGACGTCCGCCGTTGAGGAAAATGTCCGAAAATTACGACCTCTTCTCAACTTCTTCCTCTGCCCCATCCACTTCCCCAGCCTCCTACAACATTTTGCGGGATTTCCAGAATTTATTCATTCTTTATCCTTGAATCATCATCCAAGGAGTCTTGTAAGGACCGGGGAAAGAAGGACATCTAGCAATAAAGAAACGAGAAAACCGCGAAAATTCAACAACGGGAAAAAATTTTTTGTACACGGCAAATTTCACTCGAGGGCGATTACGCCTCCCCTCCCATTGGAATTTCCCCAACGATATGAAAATGCCCTGAAACAGGAAAAAATCAACTGTCGAAGAAAACTTCAGAATGAATACGTCCCCTCCCCTCCGTCCAGCAGGCAAATACGACAACACACTGGGAATTCCCCAACGGTGCTCTGGCCGTGAAGTCGAGGTTCGCCACACATTTCCGACAAAAATACATATGGTCCAGAACTATACTTCACCAATCTGATTTTTCATGAAAATAGTATCCGAGCAAATATCACAGCTCACTGTGGTTACGAATTCCATGAAGCCAACCTTGCAAGTGGTGTTCCGACCGGCACAACACATTCGGCGTTGATAGCATCCGGCATCGACGGCAACGGTAGCGAAAGCCGAGAATATGAGAAGAACAGAGAGGAGCATCAGGACATCTGAAACAGGGAGTAGAGCTAATCCAATACAGTGACATTAATCAGCAAAAAGTACGACAACGGTAATGATAAGACGATCAAATTTTTATTAAAAATAAAAATGTGCTTGCGAAGTGAGACCTCAACAGAAAAATTATCAGCCATATTAGAAAATATTCCCAAAGGGAGGAGAAGGCATAGTAGCAGAAGGCGACGCTGCCAAACGCTCCGTCCAAATCCGGCACAGGGCATCAAATCAGTTACTTCCCAGAAGCTTGTTTTTTAGTAATAAAATCTGGATGGTTTCATGAGACGAATCAATGTGCACATTTTGCTCAATGGGAGGAAATTTGAACAAAAGGAGATTTCAATATTTTTCAAAGGACATTATGACCGCATGCAGTACAAGGCTTTGAAGTTTCCCTTAGGAGAAAAGAGCTTAAGGACGTAGTCTGCGTTGGTCATGTAGGCGGAGTCGGGCTCATCACTGAGTCATGCTGATTCGAGCAAATTCTAGAACAGCAAAGATGCGGTGCAACTCAATAGGACCGGAAAGGCGGTGCAACAGAGATGGGAAAGGCATAGTGGTAGGCCTGACTCTACCCATACGATCAACATGGACTGTGCCTTTGAACAAGCAAAGCGCCCCTCCCACAGCCTCTAGTTGTGATTGGATGATCAAATGTTAAAAAAGCTTTGTACATATAAAGCAGCGGATTCCCAAGTTGAAGAGTTTCATCCTGCAGGGAAAAGTAAGCGTTTAGTAAAACAGAGAAGGTATGAAGGGCTTGCCTGAAACGTAACTGAACCACTGAAGTCAATGGGAGCCTCTAAGGTAAACTCACAGGAGGGTGTGATGAAGTTGCTGAAGGTTCCAGAGTTTAACACTTGGCAATCCTTTTTGGAACGTGCCACGCATTCTACTGCTATCCAGCGTCAGGCAGGCTTTTAGAAGGTCCAGACATAGGCTCACAAGCAAGGCGAGGCAGGACATCCGATGAACAGTTCAGTGTTTCGCTCTGGTACGAGCAGACCCCGAATAGTCGCCGCCCTTTTAGGGAAAGACACCAAGACCAAAACACTTCAAACTCTGGTACGATTTTCCACTTCCCTCATGCTACCTACCATACTCCTGATTTCTCCCAACTTCTTATTTTTTCTCAAGTTTTCCATTTTTCTGCCAGAATTTAAGCTGTTCGAGCGGGAGGACAGGAAAGGAGGTCTCAAGGTCTCAATTAATAACTTCTCGGTCCAGCTATCGAGATACGAATAACCGCCAAAAAATAACAACCGGAAAAATTCTCCTAAGACCAAATACGTCCTTCTCCCTCCAGCAACTGAATACGACCTCCCGCTGGGGTTCCTCAGCCTAAGCCCTGACAGACCCAACCTTTGCTCCTCCAATTTGAGAGGGACAGAAGAGTTAAGCACAGCTCGAGTGAAATGAGAAATTCAGTGAGCACGAAGTAAGGAATGTGAAAAAGTTGCTTACGAACGATCGCAATCATCTCGGAAGTGCTTCATAAAAGTACAAAACATCGAAGAATTGCCAGTCCAAAGGCAGATTTTAGTGTGATTAAAAAAACTGTTTATAACTGATTTTTATCGAAATCGGCGGAACTGGTTTCACTTTGTCAAGAAAATCATCATTCTATTTGTTCAAAAACCATTCTGTGCTGGAGCGCTCGCAATATGGAATGGGACAAAAATACCCTAAAGTCCGGTAGACACAATCCTTATCCCGGAGACAGAGTAGGCGTGGCAGTCCAATATGGATCAGTGTGGGTTATTAGTGGGATATTTCAATTTGAGGCAACTGTCATCTTGTCCTGCGTTGGACAAAGGCATGACTACAACTATCCAAAAATCAAAATATCCCACGAAAAGCTCAGTAGCTGCCACGTTCTATTCGTTTCAGCCACGCCTACCGCATCTCAGAGATTTGGAGTGTAAGTCCGCGCGACATGGCGACCGCCGCGCGCGCGACGCTGAAGCGGGACTTTGTAGGTTGAAGCCGGTTACTATTTCGAGAAATCTTGATTTGGAAAATACCTCTCTGAAAGATATGGCCATGAAAAGGATATAATAAAGGATGACTATAGCTGACAGGGAGTATCGAGATGTCAACAAGTTGGAGCAGACAATAATAAGGAACAGCTCGTTGCGAAGGGAGTTCAGAGCAACTTCAAAAGAGCATTTAGCCCTGGTATTGCCGAATTCAATGATTAGATGGAAAGTAAAATTAATTCTGTCGCAACCTTAGAGCGCAGGGAGGTGGCCCACGATAATCTTCGGGACTGCAGAGCCTAAAGATGGCTAGGCAGGGTGCCATATTAGTAGGAAAATCATTGAAAGACACGCGAAGTGAAAGCTGTCACAAAGGTTCCGTGCGTAGTAAAAGCCTCTCTCGTTCTTAAAAGCTTGGAAGGACTAACTTTGCGGGACGGAGCTTTCGCTGTACGCAGTTGCTTAAACTAACGCGCCTAGCGCGTTGGTACAGCCTGCCACATGGATATAACCCGTATATCCCGCGCACCATGGCCGGGCTTCATAACGGCAATCCTGTCGCATTCAGCACTAACTTAGCAAATGAAGCAATACGAGCACCAGGTACGGTCGTCCATTTGTGGGCGGGCGGGCGTGGTGGGCGTTCGGGTCGGTATGTTGCAGCTTGATAGGGCCCTTATAAGGGTACCTTCCTTGGAAAAGGCGCTACGCAGCGCCTGCTCAGGGTCGCGGAATTCCGTCCTGCCAGGCGTATTAATCCTACTCGTCTTAGGGATTTATCGTGCCAACTGCCTTTAAACCACTTGTCACCAAACAAATTTCAAGACAGAAATCGAATGAAAGGTGGGATGAGCCGTCAGATTGCGTTCTTACTTTGTGACACTTCAGGCAAAAAGAGTTGCAAACCAGAAGTTTTCTATACAACTCTGGATCCTTCTGTGGGAATCGAGTAAAATTCCTTTCTCCAACACTACTTCGAAGTGTTCCTTTGCAATTTCTTCCAAGATAGCTCCTAATACAGTAGAGAACTTCCTGATTGTTTGCTCTTCTTCTTCTTTTATTTATTCCCCCATCATTTCCTTCGATAATCCACCCTTTTGTTCCTTTTTATGGTCACATCTTCTAGAGATATGCGTTCCAAATCACCTTCTCCGA